CATCCCCAGCTGCAAGAATTCCACGGATATCTTTCTGTACATTGATCCTATAGCTGAAGTGTTTCTACTTTCTACAATGCTCATTATGAAAGAAAGAATGATCAGTATCACATTTGCCTTTTCCAGAGATGATATCAAAATTTGTTGGTATCTCCTATTCAAAATACACCAGCACATTTTGTGAATTTGACCAACTTTTTGGTCATACCAACATTACACTTGAATCCCCACTGAGTTTCGTTCTCAAATGGTCTTGTGGCCTCATTCAAAAGCTTTGAACATTAGGCAAAGAGCTTCAATGATTGAGAAATCTTGGCAGAAGCCACAAGAAAGGATGAATGTGTTGTCAAAAGCTTTGAACATTAGGCAAAGAGCTTCAATGATTGAGAAATCTTGGCAGAAGCCACAAGAAAGGATGAATGTGTTGTCAAATGTCTTACGAACGTCTGAGAAGAAACCACAAGAAAGGATGAATGTGTGGTCAAATGTTTTACGAACATCTGAGCAGAAGCCACAGGAGAGGATGAATGAGCTTTCAAATGTTTTACGAACCTGCTATTCTGATGTTGAACAAATGTTGTAATCATATGGTTTCCATTTATTGATCCAAGATGAAGTCTGTCTTCTTCAACTTCAAGATTAAAAGTGAGATATGATGAGGATTTCTTTCCACAGAAGGAGAGCTGAAATTTTAACAACAAGAAACTAATGGCACCAACTAATGTTGAACGACAGGATGTTGTTAAACATCTCGACATGATATGGTCCAAGTTGCCGTATTCGAGATTGGATTAGATGTGGAGACATGAAAGGAATTAGGATAAATCTTCCTTGTGATGTGTTTCAAAAGTTAAATTGGAACAAACTCTACTCTCCTAATTAATCCCTGCTGAGTCAGACATATCTACATCTACACTCTTCAAAGATTATAGATTCTCTTCTTAAAGATGATATATTCTCTTTTCAAAGATGAAAGCTTTATGGGATTTATACACAAGTCCAAGCAAATAAAGTTGGTTTTATCCAAGACAAAATGGGGCATCAGGGTCATACTTCTGACTACGGCAAGAGTTCTATAAATGAAACATTTCTTCTGAGACTTAAATGAAGTTAAGAAGACGCAAGATATAGTTGATCAGATGATTCTACAGAAATGCAAGGATAGCATAAGTTTCTACACTGATATCCAGAGGTGACCCTGGAAGTAAATGATGAAGTGAAGGAATACCTAGTTCACCACTTTGAAGTCAAATGAAGATTGCATCAACATTCATGCATTCATAAGAATATCATTTACACAATAGAAAATACATTACATTGATACATCTGAGTGCATTCAAACATGAAGTTTTACAGATCTTCAGAAGAACAAGAAGATTCATGATAAAAAATACCTTACACGAAGAATGTATTCAAAACCATAAATACAGGAATTATGCAAACATTTGAAGATAGAGGATGCAATCCACAAAATGAGCATTATCTAGAGATTGGGGCATTTTACCCAATCAACATGTTTTTGAAAAATAATGAGAAAACAATTTCCATAGTTTCTCATTCAATCTTTTCTAAAAATGAAATTGTTGAAAAGTAAGAAAACGATTTCCTTAGTTTTTTTTTACTTAGTAAACTATTTCCCACATCTGTAAATCCTTCAGTGCATGATGTTTCCAAAAAGCCTTCGGGAGCTTTTTGATGTTTTCAAAGCCTTAGGGTCATCTGTAAGTCCTTCAGCGCATGATGTTTCCAAAAAGCCTTCGGGATCTTTTTGATGTTTTCAAAGCCTTAGGGTCATCTGTAAGTCCTTCAGTGCATGATGTTTCCAAAAAGCCTTCGGGATCTTTTTGATGTTTTCAAAGCCTTAGGGTCATCTGTAAGTCCTTCAGTGCATGATGTTTCCAAAAAGCCTTCGGGAGCTTTTTGATGTTTTCAAAGCCTTAGAGTCATCTGTAAGTCTTTCAGTGCATGATGTTTCCAAAAAGCCTTCGGGATCTTTTTGATGTTTTCAAAGCCTTAGGGTCATCTGTAAGTCATTCAGTGCATGATGTTTCCAAAAAGCCTTCGGGATCTTTTTGATGTTTTCAAAGCCTTAGGGTCATCTGTACGTCCTTCAGTGCATGATGTTTCCAAAAAGCCTTCGGGAGCTTTTTGATGTTTTCAAAGCCTTAGGGTCATCTGTAAGTCCTTCAGCGCATGATGTTTCCAAAAAGCCTTCGGGATCTTTTTGATGTTTTCAAAGCCTTAGGGTCATCTGTAAGTCCTTCAGTGCATGATGTTTCCAAAAAGCCTTCGGGAGCTTTTTGATGTTTTCAAAGCCTTAGGGTCATCTGTAAGTCCTTCAGTGCATGATGTTTCCAAAGCCTTCGGGATTTTTTTTGATGTTTTCAAAGCCTTAGGGTCATCTGTAAGTCCTGCAGTGCATGATGTTTCCAAAAAGCCTTCGGGAGCTTTTTGATGTTTTCAAAACCTTAGGGTCATCTGTAAGTCCTGCAGTGCATGATGTTTCCAAAAAAACCTTCGGGAGCTTTTTGATGTTTTCAAAACCTTAGGATCATCTGTAAGCCCTTTAGTGCATGATGTTTTCAACATTTCCATATTACTTAAAATAACCGAATGAAAAATTATTGTCTTTTCGTCTTTGCTCTATTTGTTAACACAAGAATGATCAAAGAGGGGCTGAAGACATTAATTTTTCACTTTCATTAAAATTAAAATTATTAATTTTATTATTATTATTAATATATATTATTATTATTATATAAATAAATTACAAAACTGGAAGCCCGTTTACAAGCCCAAATCCCAGGCCCAACCAGAATCGACCCATACCCAAATAGAAACCTAAACTGATTTAGGGTTTTAGCTAGGTTTTCAAACCCTAGCTCCCAACCGCTGCTTCCAGTGATCCCCAGCTGCCTCCAAGATTCCAGAACAACCACGTGGCTGCCGCCGTTACTTCCAGACGTTTAGCTGTCGCCGCCCTCGCCAGAAGTCTCCAGAAGGCCAGCTGCTCCCACATGTCACGGCTATGGGTGAGTCACCACATAGCTCGGTGACTCACCGAACTTCCCCTCTAGATCGGTCCTAGCATGGCTCGGTGGTGGCTATAAAAGCCACCGGATCCTGCAAAACAAAAGGGGGGAGAGAGGACAGAAAGCAGAAAAGAAAAAAAAAGAGACAGAGAAAGAGATACGAACAACCAGAGCAAGAACTATAGACACGAGAGCAAATCAACACCCAACAGCAACCAAATAAAGAAGGAGAAGAGGAAAGGAGACTTACCAAGGGAACTGCCGTCATCAGAGCCTCCCTACATCTTTGAAACCGAAAGGTCGAAGGTAAAGAACCTTAGATCTACATATTTTGGTAATGATCTAGGTTAAAATACCCTCGGATTGGCTTTAGGGAAAGCAGGGCTTCGATTTAAGGTATATATGTAGTTTTCCGGCCACCATTAACGGTGGCCGGTGATGGAGACCGACACCGGAGTACGGTGTCCGGCGACTGCCGGAATTCCCTCTGGTTAGAGGAAGTTAGAGAGAGGCGAGAGAGTTTTATAAACTCTCTCAGTTAGAGAGAGACGAAGAAGAGAGTAAATGAGGGATGCTGGCCCTATGGGCCAGCCATTTTGTCTTATATACTCCTCCCAAACGACGCCGTTTTGGGTAGGGGTATATCTGTAATTTCGCGCACGGTCAAACCACTCGCGTATCATCCTAGCTTTGTAAATTTCTATTTTGGTCATAAAATCAATTCCTATACTTTTTAATTCGATCTTCTAATTTTTATTTATAATTTAGTCATTATCAGTAAATGTATATATTTATGGTAATAACAGATTTAGTCTCTCAGATTTTAATAATTTATATTTTAATCATTGGTTAATAATTAAAATTAAATTACACTAATATTATATAAATTTCATAATATTTGAATTAGAGCCTTTAATTTTGGTATTTTACATTTTAATTACTGATATATATTAGTTTTTTTGTACCATAAGTTTATTTATTTTTTTAAATTTATTGTTATAATTTTAATTATTTTATTTGATTATTATCTAATTGCAAATTATATATTATTATACTTTAGTTATATTTCATTTTATTTTTATTTATTAATCTTAGTCATATATATATATATATATATATATATAATATATATATATTTGTTTAAATAATAATGTTTATTTTTTTTAATATCGAAGAAAATGACAGTCTTAATATAACTGGATGTTCTATTCTGGTATTTTAAATAATTAAATATTATAAAAAAATTATAATTTAGTTTTATTTAAATTATTAAATTATTATATTTTAGTTATTATTTATACGAAGAAAAGAGCTGTTTTAAAGTACCTAGAAGCCCTTTTCTGATATTTCTAATATATAAATATCTTATTTATGTATATTAATATTTTCTTAAAATTATTTGAAATAACAGAATTATGAATTAAATATATTTGAATTTTTAAATTTCCAATAATAGAGACAATTTATAATTAAAAAGTACCAATTTTGGGCGTTGTAGGGGTGTTAATCCTTCCCTAAACGTAACCGACCACGAATCCTTTCTATTAATAAAAAGAACGAATTTTTGGTTATAAACGCAGATCAGTTCATCTTTTAACTGATGTTTTCTTAAAAACACTTTTAAAAGATAATTTTTAGGTATTCGACCTACCTGACCCAAAAGGCCGATGGCGACTCCAAATTATTTTTAAAACCATTTATTCACATCACTTTTCCCGCCAAGTTTAAAATTTCGTGCCCGGACGAAAACCGGTTACGACACATATCAATTGTTTAAATAAATTCATTTAATTTGATCGACTAATTTAATCTTAATCAAAAATGATTATCTTTAAAAATATTACGGACGTAAATCATAAAAACATGGAAATACTATAAACGATTGTAGACTATAAAAAGCCCAACACAATCTGTGTAACGAGCTGTATGCTACACTTTAGAGGCCCAAATGGGTTTTTAAGACGATTCATTTTGTTCTCTAATAAATACCTGGAAAAAAAAAACCCCTAACCCTGAGCGGAAGTCGCCATTATCACTCACCACCTGTAATCAGACTACAGAGCAGCAGCTACAATCACAAAATGGGTAAACCCAGGCTTCTGATATCATTTTCTTTCCAATTTATTTATTTTGTTTTGTTTTTTTATCTATGATGGTGATTGGTTTACAGGTAAGGTCCACGGATCGTTGGCACGTGCAGGGAAAGTCAGAGGGCAAACTCCAAAAGTAGCCAAGCAAGACAAGAAGAAGAAGCCTAGAGGCCGAGCCTATAAGCGGATGCAGTACAACCGCCGTTTCGTCACCGCCGGTTAGTTTATCTCCTTTTGTTGTTTATAAATTTATTGTTTCTGATCTTTACAATGTTCAAATTGTGCTGTTAATTGAATTTGATCGGTTTTGTTCAGTCCAGTTCGATTAGTTCTTAATCCTTTTGATTGTTCCTCTAATAGTAACGACTCATTTCAATGATGAAATCGCTGATTCCTGGACTAACTATTTGGGTTATTAGTGATTTAGTTCTTGTTTGCTCGTCTGACTCGTTTCCTTTTGTCTTTTAACGTTGATTATATGTCATATGTTCAACCTACCTTCATGAATGAATTTATTCTCAAACAAGTTGAATATGGTGCCTTGACACTGAATTTTTGCTATTAATTATCAGTCATTGTTACTAAGATTGCTCTATCCAATTCAGTAATATTAGCGATCTCATCAATATATAATTTATCATAGAATTAGTACATTAAAAAAAACAACAATTAACAAACCAGTGAATTTACTTCTTTGGAATTATTATATGTTTGTATAAACACAATAATCATATAAATAAGTTCCTAAACAACATTTTACGATTCTAATAGCTCGAATTTCATTCATGTTATATGAACCAGAGAAGACTAGCGATCATCGGGTTCATATACATCTATTGTCCTTCATCTTTAATTCTTTTGAGAATTGCTTGTTTGAAGAAGGCTTATGCTTGTGTTTCCTCCTGCAATTTTGATCATGTCGAGCCTGTGACTGACCGTTTTGCTTGTTTGCTGTTTTGGCAGTTGTCGGTTTCGGCAAGAAGCGAGGACCCAACTCTTCCGAGAAGTGAGGCTGGACCTTTTAGAATCCTGCATTGTAGGATTTTGGAAGTATGTTGAGAACATTTCTGGCTTCATTAGCATTACATTGTTCTTAGTTGTAGCCTCTTTTTGGTTCAAGAAAACGATGATACTGGTATCTGTTGATTGAACATTGTATTGCTTGTATCCGAATCATTCCCATCACTAAAAAGTTGAAATTTACTCTTCTATCAATCATTCAACATTGTGGTCCGGGAGCTGGAATTAGAGTTGATTAAACATAAAATGGTATCTGTTGATATATATATATATATATATATTTGATTATTTTGTCACTAAACTATGGAGTGATTTTATTCTCATCACCAAACAAAATTTGTCAATAATGTTTTTTATTAGAATAATAACAATTTTAGTCCTTCATATTTACTACACATTCAATTAGTTTAGTTCTAATTTTAGATAATTTAACAAAAATAATAGAAACTTTATTAATTTTAACTTGATTAGATAATTTGATAGAATTAATCTCTAAATATACAAAATTTATTATTTGAATCTCAAAGTCAAACCAAAATCATCTAAATACAAAAACAACTCCTTCACCCCTTTGCCACAAACCCGTTCTCCATCACCGGCTTCTAAGCCAAGTTCAATCCGTTGTTCTCGAGCACCTTTGCCGTTACCTTCATCAAAAACCTGCACCAAATAATTACTTGAGCACCTTTGCCGTTACCTTCATCAAAACCTGTCCAAATAGTTACTCGGTTACGATGCAGGTTTGGATGAAGGCAACTACAGAAATACTCGGGAATAATAAATTGGTGTCGACATATAAGCTGATGATGGGGGGATGGATTGTTGGTGGTGGTTGAGAAGAGGATGGAGGAGTTGTTTTGGACTTCAAACGATTTGGTTTAGTTTGATTTTGAGACTAAATTAATAAATTTTATAAATTAGAACCTTTTTAATCATAGAATTATGATTAAATTAATTGAATGTATTAATATGGATTATTATCATCCTAATGAAAATTATTTTTTTATAGGTTAAAATTAATTTAAATTAAACAGTAATGGCCTAACTAATACAATTGTTTATTTAGTGATAAGAATAGAATATATCCTATGGCTTAGTGACTAAATAGTTAGTTTACCCTCTTATTTTAAACCAGTTAATAGAACACGCAAACACTGGAGGTAGGCTGAAGTCAAGCCATCGAAGAAAAGTCCCATACAAGTCCGTCTCCTTCAATGACCAAAAAACAGTCGGAATTACGAATCCATCTCATGTTTATTCAGAGAGTTTCTTTCTCCTTTAAAATTAAACCTTTTACCAAAAAAGAACACAGCCCCGTCGTATCGTTAAAAACTTTGTTCCCTTCAGAGAGTTCCTTTCTCCTTTAAAATTAAACCTTGTACCAAAAAAGAACACATCCCCGTCGTATCGTTAACAACTTTGTTCCCTTCTTTTTTCATCTCTTAATCTCTTCACCATCGTGTACGCACGTTGCGTTTATGTTCTCCTAAGTCCTAATCACGGCACGGCAGGAACTTACAGTCATTCATTCTACCGAATTTCTAGTCACACTTGCACACCTGTCAAAAAGAGTTTTGCTGTGTTTTTTATATCTCCTTTCTGTATACAACAGTGTTTCAAAGTTGTCTTTGTTATCTTCTGGTTCAGTTTTTGATCCAGTAGGGTGCTTCTTGGTTTGGTTTTAGGGGAGATACAAAACCCAGAAATTGGTTATGGTGCAGCCAAGGTTGGTGGCCATGGAAGAAGGTAAAGAACCAGTTTCTGCAAACAAAACGAGCCTCTCCAGGGCTTTTCCCTTGAGGAACCTTGTGTTTTGTTCGTTGTTTTTGATCATGGGCGTCGGGTTATCGATCACCAGTTATTCAGTACGATTTTCCATGATCCCGCAGATTGCAGCAGCTAAAGCACCATCCCCTGTTCAGCCTCGGTTTGAAGATGCCGCTAATACCTTGGAAAATTTCATTAGGCCTCCTTCAAACTCGATGCATGATATGAATGACACGGAATTACTATGGAGAGCTTCGTTTGTTCCTCGGATCAAGGAGTATCCTTTCAAGAGAGTCCCCAAAATTGCCTTCATGTTCTTGACCAAGGGGCCATTGCTAATGGCTCCTCTTTGGGACAGATTCTTCAAGGGACATGAAGGGCTTTACTCCATATATATACATGCACTACCATCCTACACTGGTGGGTATCTACCATCATCAGTTTTCTACAGGAGACAAATCCCTAGTCAGGTATCAATTTCATAGTAGTATATTATTTCGACTCTTCATTTTTTTAAAGTATCCGTGTTTGAAATATACTCGGACATGGATATTGGATATGATCTTTAAAAGATTTTCTAAATACATGGAAATCTTTGAAAAAACTAAACAAATCCATATCCAACACTACTTGTGTCCTACTCTTTTACCCAAGTTCGAGTAATATCTGTTTTTTTTCTTGAATCCTTTTTATCGTAATATTTCTTTAATATTTTCGAATAAATATATGTGATAGAGGAACAGGGTTAGTTGTAAGTATGAACTAGCAGCATTCTGGGTGAATGCATCTTTTAGGGTCTAAAACACTTATCAGATACATATTTGAACATGAGTAAGGGAATATGACTCTCCAAAGGCCTTCCAAATACATACAAAACTTCGGAAAACATCGAGTATAGTAGAGTTGAATGCATATCTGTATGTGATACTCGTATTCGGATTCAAGTAACATAGTGATCAACATATATAACTGGTTCGACTTGTCATTTAAAACATGATTGTATTTCAACAAACGAAATTCTATAGGGGAAAACTACAGATTGTTTGCTGCCTGAAGGCTTTGTTTAAAATGATTTGATTATTTATTCAAAATTATTTGCAGATTGTTGAGTGGGGAAAGATGAGTATGTGCGAGGCAGAGAGGAGACTCCTCGCCAATGCATTGCTCGACATCTCAAATGAATGGTTCATTCTCCTATCCGAGTCTTGCATTCCCTGGTCAATTTTAGCATCTATCACTACATATCAAGATCAAAGCAGCTTTATGGGCTCGTTCGACGAACCGGACCATATGGGAGAGGGCGCTACATTAAACGCATGCGACCAGAGGTCACACTTAGCCAATGGCGTAAAGGGTCTCAATGGTTTGAAGTCAACCGAAAGCTTGCGATTGATATAATTAAAGACATCACTTATTATCCCAAGTTCAAGAAATTCTGCCGTCACGGTTGTTATGTCGATGAGCACTATTTCCCGACAATGCTGACGATCCAATCGCCTCATCTCTTGGTGAACAGGACCCTTACTTGGACCGACTGGTCAAGGCGCGGTGCTCATCCAGCGACATTCGGGAAAGATGATATTACTGAAGGCTTCTTTAAGAGAATATTTGAAGGTCAATCCTGCTTATATATGATCAGCCATCAACTATTTGCTATCTTTTTGCAAGGAAGTTTGCTCCAAGTGCCTTGGATCCTTTATTAGGGTTGGCATCCAACGTTTTTGGCTATTGATAAAGTTTCATTACAAAGGTGAATTTTTGTAGTTGTATATTTAAAGCTAACCATGTCTTTGTTAGTGAGGACTAATCCAATTCGCTATATGTCGTAAAATCGGTCGCATGAACCGAACCGAACCCTGAATATAAAATTATTGATTTATACGTCTATACTACATGATTGAATGAAATATTGTAATTTGTATGCGACATGTACATAATTCCACATTATTCCCAATTTCCTGAAGCTCATGGTAAATCAACACATTCAATGAACTCAAATCATAATCCAAATCCTAAGGGTCAAAACAAATAACAAATAAAATTAGCACTGAATTTAGTGGCTGCTTCTTGTTGACATGACAAGTGCAAGAAGTGTCAAATGTTTGTCTTACACCTTAAAAGCAGCCTATGAATTTTATGTCCTTTTAGTTAGGCTTCAACAAGTCGGGATGCTTCTTTTGAAGACTGCGGCCAAAATGGTGAAAGGGCGACAACCTTCCCGATTATGATTAGTGTCGGCGACACCAACTCTGCTGTTTTGATTTTTCGGCAAGATCCTTAAGTTCTGCAAAGACCTGTACCATCATGAAAGAACAACCATACTGGGGTTAGCATGCAAGATTTCTGGTTTTATTGAATATCCCTCGAAAGCATTAATAATTCATGTTGTGTTAATGTTTGTGAAGAAATCGTGCATGACATTGTACTTACCGTGCGCTGTTGAGGTGTGGTTCCTCGCTCAACTGCAGCGGCTGGTGTATCTGGTGGTAGGCCATTATGTATCAACTTTTGGGCAAGAGAAGGGAGGGTGGAAAGGCCCATATAAATCACTAACGTTGAATCAGGGTCAGCAGCATTTTCGGCAACAAAAAGAGGATCTGTTCCACCTTTTCTCGAGTGACCTGTGAGAAATCTTACACTAATTGCCACACCTCTATGGGTCAAAGGAATGCCCAGCTCGGCTGATATTCCAGAAGCAGCAGTAATACCTACAAGACAACAAGCATGTTAATGTCAAACCGCATTTCTCATACAAACAGTTCTATGCTAATATGCTGTTCCATTCTTCGTCAACATCAAACACTTTCATAAACCAGAACTCAGCAGTCCTCATAGGGCCTACATGATTGAAGAAATCTTCAAGTTCAGTTCTTTTTGTTATTGTCTCAAAACGCATGAACCTATGATTGTTGCTCAAACAGATGTTATAACCTATAAAGAAAAAGGCTCCCTTTCTAAAATCTTTCGTACCATTAGAAATTATTTTCAAACATGATTAACTAAGAATAATATGTGAATGCAGCCTCTCGAATGCAGAACATATGATCAAGACAACTCTGCTTTACCCTCTATCTTTGAATTGTTGTTTTGACACACCAAAACACACTTAACCCCTTAAAATCGAGGATTCCACTGAGAAAATGTTCAAAACCTAGTCAAGCCTCCTAAGATAAAAAAATTATTCGAAAAGGAATATGTTAAGGCAAGTCCTCATCATGTAAAATCAATAGAGATCAACAGCAGTTTCGTAAATTTATGAGATG